CCCCCCATCAAGTATTTTGAACTACAACTCCCATCGTGCAACGGGAAACGGTCAGAACTCTGAGTGATCCGACAGGACCTTGAACCAATCCAGTCCCAGAGCTCTCAGTCAGGGACCTATTGGCTCTGGGTGGAGGCGGAACCTTCAGTTGCTAGGTTGGTCCCCTTCCGGAAGTGGTTGTTGGCCTCTGCAGGGCAACACCCCGGCGTCCCTGGAAGCGGGGAGCCGGGGTGGTGCTGGGCAAACGGCGCAGAGCCATCGCCCCAAGGCTCCCGGGGTGGGGGACAGGTGAGGACTCCTTCTGGGGAGAGGGTGGTGTGATCTGGTGGCGTGGCAGGAGAAGGAGGGTTGCGGGTGAGTTGAGGCACTCTGGTGTATCAGCGAGCGCTAAGTGTAGAGTGTGGGCGGGAACTGAGGGAAGAATTGAAAAAGGAGCGGTTGGCTGAGTGTGCATCTGTTCAAAACCCCACCTCGCCCGCTGGCGAGTAGGCGGCAGGGGCCTGGCGGGTGAGTGAGCGGCGGCTGGTGGGGGAGTGAGGGCGCAGAGCGGCGTGAGAGCTCGTTGGGTCCCTCCTTCGCCCCTCTGGCCCGAGCCTGTGTGAGGCCCGGTCCTGTGAGCCTTGCCTGAATCCTCCTGTGAGATTCATCCCCCGCCCCGCCCCCGTATCCGAATCCCGGGCTAGTCCAACCTTATGCTGTCTTTTGGCCCGCTGGGGAAGTTGGGAAGTTTTTCTTTTTTTCTTCACTGCACTGATTAAAGCATCTCCGTTTACATCTGGAACTGCTGTCTTCACTTAGCTTCCAGGACTCCCTTCCCGCTGGACTCTTGACTCTCTCTTGACTCAGCCCTTCGCAGGCCTCTCTTCTCTTCTACCACTCAGTCTCTGGGTGATTTCACCCAAAGTTTCAGTTACCATTCATTCAGCAAACCACTCTTAAGGTGAATCTCTTTCCTGAGCTTAGATCTGATTACTGATCATCTCTTTCCTGATGTCTGGGATCTGTTCCTCTGATTGTATTGTCTGTCGTAGTGAAGGATTTCACCACACAGCCACATCTACACTGGGAATTCATTCATCTAGTATGCAGTAGGACATGTCTATATTCTAGGCAGCATACCTACTATGGTCTATTGGACAAAGCCTAGAATCACTATATACTGACTGAAGTGATCTGGTTCCCTCCTTCCTCTCACTTCTACATAGGTCACGTGCAGTTACCCTCTGGCCCTTCCTTCCCATTCTCACAGCCACTTAATTCATAAATATCTTGCCAGGACTTTCAGTCTAACTTCGTAGGCAATTTCTCTGCTTCTGTTCTTGCATTTCTCTAAACTATAAAACTCATCAATGTTTGTCTCCTTTGTGAAATCCTGTGATAATTCCTCATCATGTACAACACCCTTAATCCTTCCAACCTTTTATGATATAGTCCTTGCCTTCCGTTCTAGATCTCTCTCCTGCTACTCCTTCCACTCTCCCTTGCAATTTGATCGTGTCAAAATGGTTAAGGGCCCAGACTTTGGAATCAGATAAATACATGCATATTTTGTTGTGCCATTTACTAGCTGAAAAACTGGGCAAGTTTAAAAATTTTTTTTAAACCTTGCTTAGCCTCAATTTCCTTATTTGAAAAGCAGTGATAATAATTTCTATCTAGCTGAGAGGATGAGACGAGATGATGTAAATAAAACACTTAGTACAGTTTTGGAACAAAGGGACTATTAAGTAAATTTAAGCTTTTATTGTCATAATAAGTTTCTTGGCACTCTTTCCTGCTTCTTTGCTGTTGTGTGTGCTGTCCTTTCTGCCTTTAAGTTCCCTTACTCTTATCCTGGTGAGCTCCTATTTATCCTTCAGGAACCATCTCAGTAGCCAGATATCTGTGATGCTTTCCCACAACTTCCAGAGTAATATTAGTTACCCTTATCTTTGTGTCCTGTTGTAATTAACACATGATGTAATCATGTGTTTATATGTCTGGCTTCACATTAGGCCGAACTTGGGTTCAGGATCATGTTTAATCAGGTTTGTAGCTCTGGTATCTAGCATAATGCCTGGTGGGTGTTCAATAAATGACTATTGAATTTCTGAATGACCTTATCTTCAATGATATTGGATCTGTCTTTTGGAACAGTGTAGAATAAATCTTTAAATATGGAAGTAGTGGTAATAATAATAGTAACACTTGGCATTTGTTGAGATTTTACTATACTTTAAGCATTTTACATTTAACCACTTCTCACAACACTTTGAGATGCTTTTGTTATTTATTTATTTATTTATTGTGGTGCTGGAGATTGAACCTAGGGTCTCCCATTGGCTAAGCACATAAACTATCACTGAGCTACACTCCCAGCCCAGTATACTTTTATTTTTGGTTTGACATTTACTCTATGCCAGAAATGTGCTAGACACTTTTCAGATATTATCTTATTCACTGCCAAATATCTTTTCGACATAGGTTATAATCACTGAATTATACAGATGAGATTACTGAGGTTTAGAAAGGATGAAGTACCTTGCCTAAAGTCATACAGCTGTCAAGTGAGAGAGCTGAGATTTGAGTCCAGGTTTTTTTGTTCTCAGAGCTGGTTCTTTTACCACTATGCCATATGTCATTTAAAGTATGGAGAGGGATATTTAGCATTGGAAGGGATATTTAGCATGTGCAAGTGCTACCATGGACATTTTCGGTTCCCAAGATTCCTAGGTTCTGAGTTAGTGTGGTTTATAGCAGTAATTGAGCTCCTGCAGTTTATATAAGCTCATTTTAGGCTTGGTTGGAAAAATTAAAAGGAACAAGCATGGCCTTCACAAAAGAGGTGGAACACATGGAAAAGATAATGTTGAGATAAATATGCCTGTGAACATGTGAAAACTGTGTCCCCAGTGCTGAGGTGCTTCTGGATTGACAGGAGGTTGGTGATTTTGGAGGAGATGTGTGGATCACTCCTTTTCTGCTAGATTCTGGGATTGGCAGGAGATTGAAGAGTGCAGTTGAGTGACTCTCCCCAACAACTCTAAGGCTTGCAGTGGGGCTCAGGCCAGGTAGTGAGTAGATCTTATTACGTTTCATCTGATCTGTTGGTAATTGCAACACGAAGTACAGTTGAGGCTTCAGAAGCCATATCTGGAGTGCCATGATTGACTAGAATTTCGCTCATAGTCATAAGCCTGGAGGAAAATCTCAGGACATGACATTTATTTGCCATAGCAACTCTAATGGCTGTTTTCTTAGACTTCTCATTCTCTAGGTTACTAAGCTAGTCCAGGTTGTTACCATCTCCCACCTAGACCATATCATGGTTTTGTTCCTCATCTTCCCACAGCCATTCTGGTTTTTCTTCCTTCTAATCTGGTCACCATTCTAGTCCATATTCCCAATGGTTGCCAGAGTGATTCCCCCTCCCCACCCCAATCCAAAACCTTTGCCTGGCTTCCATTTGCCTTAGGATAAAGGCCAAGTCCTCGGCATATCCTGGCTTCTGCCCACCTCTTCAACATCATCTCTAGCTATTCTCTTTCTTGGTAGGTGATGTATCTTACAGAAGAACCTTTGCACATGATGCTACTTCTGCTGTTAGAACACATTTCTTTGAGGAATCCCTACTCATTCTTCAGTTCTCAGCATAGGCACATCTGATCAGGTTCATTTCCTTCAGCACTTTTATCTCATTTATATTATACATTTATCTGGGACTGCTGGATTGGTCACAGTCCATAGGGCTGTAGCTCAGGGAAGTGACAATTGAATCTGTTTTTTTTTCCCCCCATACTGGGGATTCAACTCAGGTCCTTTGCATATTTGGTAAGTGCTCTACCACTGAGTTACATCAAAAGCCCCTTGTAAAAATTTTATTTTGAGACAAGGTCTCACTAAGTTGCCTAGGCTGGCCTTGAACTCGAGATCCTCTTGCTTCAGCTTCCTGAGTAGCTGGGATTACAGGAATGTATTCCTGCATCTGGCAGAAATCTACATTTTTAGTGCCTATGAATAAGTAAATAAACTTGATAGGTGCTCAACAAACCTTTTTTGAATGGTAAATGCTCTGTAGAAGTCATTAAGAAATATGATCTCCCTATCCACACTCCTCTTCCCTGCAACTCTGTACCCCTTTGGCCCTGTCTTTGCCCACATCTTTCTGAAGCCAGGCAAGGCAAGAAAAGAAGGTGAAATATAGGCCATCCATATTTTGATTTTTTTTTTGGCAGATTTGTTTGAAATTTGGATGTGTTTGAATTCAGATTTTCCATGTTCTTCCCAGACCTTAAATATTTAAATGCAGATTATTATGTACATAGCCAGTTAGGGTCTTTTTATTTTCTTCTTCTTCTTTTTTTTTTTTTTTCCCTTTTGGTACTGGGGATTGAACCCAGGAACACTTAACCTATTAGCCACATCCCCAACTCTTTTTTTATGTTTTATTTTGAGATAGGGTCTTGCTAAGTTGCTTAGCGCCTCACTAAGTTGCTGAGGCTGGCTTTGAACTTGTGATCCTCTTGCCTCAGCTTCCCGTGCTTTTGGAATTACATGTATGCATCATCACCCTGGCTCAGTTAGGATTTGTGCCATGAAAACAGTTGTATTTGTCTCACGCTTTCTGGAGGTTGGAGTTATGTAGGAATAAGTAACATTTCTTAACTGCAAAATTTCTCAAATTCTATGTTAGTTAATACAGTGCCTTGTATGGAGCCATGCTTGATAAGTGCTTGTTCACCCTGATGTTCAGGCTACTATTGAGTCCTACCTATCTGTAGATCCTTTCCTTTTCTCTTTTCCTCTTCTCTCCAATTAAGAGTATTAAAGATCCAGGTAACTTCTTAAGACACACAGCAGTGGGCCCCATCTGCCATTCTGGTTCCTGGTCCATTTCTGCTTTGCTGTTCGGAATTGGAAGAGTCAGGCCCCCCTTTTCTCTGATTGTGTAGAGGTGTGAGTACCCTACTGTGTATTCGGTATTACACCTGTTAGGAACAGATTTTCACTTCAGCTCAGGTCCTGCATACATACTTCCTTTCGTTTGACTTCCTTTTTGGGGGCAGCATGATGGGAATGAGAGGGTCAGGGATGGAGTCTGGCTCCCTTAGCATCCTGTGGACCCATAAAGAGGCTAGTATCTGTGAGTTCTAAGGCAGGACACCTCTGCTATTGTAGTCACAGAGGGTATGTAATGGTCTTTGATTGGTCTTTTGTCATTTGTCAGGGGCCCCACTACAGGAATCTGGGGTAGATTGAGAGTCACCAAGTCCAGCCATTTTCTTTTTTTAGTTGTCAATAGAACTTTATTTATTTATATGTGGTGCCAAGAATCGAACCCAGTGCCTCACACATACTAGACAAGCGCTCTATCACTGAGCTACAACCCCAGCCCCTCCAGCCATTTTCTAAACACTTACTCCAGGCCTATCTACTTAAAGGAGGCCATTTTTATGCTCACTGTTACAGGGGGAAGAGTGACAGTTTCTGAAGAAGTGGGCAACAGAACCTGCTGTGCCAGACTCCTGTTGGTCTATCACACCTGGTGTGGCTAACTCCTCCTAAGAGAGGCATGCAGCTTGTCTCTGCTTATCAGGCTTCAACATGGAAGCTGTTCTAGGAGAAAGTTAGTGGGATCTGGGGGTCCCGAGGTGGTGGTGGGACTAGGGGCGAGAAGAGAGGAGCAATTCTAGAACTGCACCAGCTTGTCAGTTGAAGAATTTGGCATTGTTCCATCGGTGAATGCTAGAAATCTTGGATTCAAGTTGGACTCCTGTGATTGTCGGCTCACACTACTGTAACAATATCATAGACTGAGTGGTTTAAACAGTAGAGATCTATTTTCTCACAGTTCTGAAGACTGGAAGTCACAGATCAACATCTGTTTCTGGTAGCTGCCTTGTACATGGCTACCACCTTCTTGCTGTGTCTTCACTTGGTGGAGAGAGAAGTCTGCTCTCTCTTCCTCTTTTTTTTTTTTTAAATCTATTTTTTAGTACATGGACTTAATAACTTTATTTATTTTATTTATTTTTTATGTAGTGTAGAGGATTGAACCTAGTGCCTCACACCTGCTAGGCAAGTGCTCTACTGCTGAGCCACAACCCCAGCCCTAAGGATACTAATCCTGTCAGAGCAGGACCCCACTCTTAAGACCTCATTTAACCCTAAATCACTTCCTGAATTACTTTCTGTCCCATAAAGTCACATTGCAGGCTAGTTTTTCAATGTTTGAATTTTGGAGGGACTCAATGTAGTCCATTGCAACTCCTTTCCATTCTGTCCTTCCAACAGCTTGGTCCTATTAAGCCTGATGTTGCTGTGTTCGTTGTGTCTGTCCCTTCTCCATTCTTAATGTTTCTGCCCTAGTTTAAGCTTTCATCATCTTTCACTTACATGCTCCTTAAGTGGTTTTCCTGACACCAGTTTCTCATTTCTTCAATCTAGCCATGCCAGTCCTACTAGAGTTTTTGTCCTTAAAAGAAAAAAAAAAAAAAGGCCACTTCATGTCACTTTCTTTTCCCAAATCCCTAGTGTCTCTTCTACAGGGCAGAATCAAGGCCTTTTAGCATGGTCCACATGGTCCTTTTAGCTGGCTTTCCACTCTGGCCCTTGCCATGCATGCTGTTATCCCATATTCCAGAACATCTGCTGCGGCCCAGGGTGATCCCTGTCTAGAGTGCCTTTTTTTATGCTTCACTGGAAATTTCTCCTTCTGCCTTCTGCTACCACTGAAGTTGTATCTCTTCCCTTCCTGGACTGTAAGCTCTCTGTAGGCATTGTTGGATGTAAATGTGTGACTGTGTAGTAGGGTATGTGGGTATATGGGTATCTGTTGAGATTTTTCTGTTTGGGGGTCTTATGCTGTAATTCTTTTTCCTCTTTGGGATGGTGGTTATGAAGTCAAATTCTTTATAGAGAGTTAGGCTTGTGGATCTTTTGTGGTTCACTGAATGTTCAACAATCTTTGGGAGGTGCATCTTAGGGAATTTTCCTAGACACAGAACCCGTAAGGCTTGAGTTCTGAGCTGTTGGTCCCACCCTCTATTATCCCTGGTGCCTGCAGAGTTCTTAGAGTTGGCGTGTAGGATCTGATCTGACCCAGATGCTTCATAACCCTCTTCTACCTTTCCCCTTCTAAGCTGAGTCACTGATTTTTCTCTCTGGTTGGGGGGTCTCTGGGATCTAGGAGTTTGATCCCACATCAGTCATGGCGGGACGACCCATCCGTATAGGAGACCAGCTGGTTCTGGAGGAAGATTATGATGAGACCTATATTCCCAGTGAGCAAGGTAAGAGGCTTGAAGTATATTGTAGTAGTTCTCTGAGGGCAGGGATTATGTCTGATTTATTTTTGTTCTTGCACTGTAACATGTGGTACATGCTCAATGCTGCTTACATGCACAAGTGTTAGATCAAAGGTTGGCAAACTATAATCCATGGGCTTAACTTGGCCTTTTGCCTGTTTTTGTATAAAGTTTTATTGGAAAACAGCCATGCTTATTTGCTTCTCGGTGGCCTGTGGCTACCTTCATGCTATGGTAGCATTGTTGAATAGTTATGACAGAGACCATATGACTCACAAAGCCTACAGTATTTACTATTGGAACAGAAGAGATTTGCTGACCTGGGTTAGATCAATGATAACTTTTTTTTTTTGCTTTTGGTGCTGGCATTGGACCCATAATGATTAGTTTTAAATGAAATTGTAGTAGGGGATATTATGAAATATAGTATGTCCTGAAGCAAACCCAGTTTCTTTTCTTTTTTTTGTTTGTGGTGCTGGGGATTAAGCCCAGGGCCTTGCTCATGCTAGGCAGATGCTGGACCACCGAGTTTAATTCCTTGCTCCCCACCCCAGTTTTCTTAAAAACGAACTAAAGCTGTGGTTTTTTTTTCATAATGATATTATTAATAACAATGATAACATTATTTTGTGCCATTGTGTGCCAGTCTATATTTTAAGAATTTGATATTTATTACCTTTTCTTTTTTTTTCTAATTTATTTTTAGTTGTAGTTGGACACAATGCCTTTATTTTATTCATTTATTTTTATGTGGTGCTGAGGATCGAACCCAGGGTCTTGCACGTGCGAGGCGAGCGCTCTACCACTGAGCCACAACCCCAGCCTGATATTTTTTACCTTTTCAACCCTTGTCAATCCTCCATAAGCTAAGTCCTATTATTGTTCCTGTGTTATAGGTGAGGAAATCAAGGCACAGAAAGGGTAAGTAATTTTCCTGTAGTTACCCAATTCTACTAAGTGGTACAAAGGATCTACCAAGGTATTATAAGTCCCAAACCTGTTCTTTGAAGCACTATGGTTTTTTTTTTTTTTTTTTGTGTGTGTGTGTGTATGTGGTGCTAGGCATTAGAACCTAGGGCCTTGTGCATGCAAGGCAAGCAGTCTACCAATTGAGGTATATCCTCATCACTGAGGCATTGTTATTTTTTGGAGTGAAAACTCTTTGAAGTTTTGAAGAGTTATGGATCTGGATTCACAAATTTTGTTCACCAACTATGTGGTTAGTAGATGGTTTAGAGTGGAACGAGAACTCTTGCACCCACTGGGAGCTCATGAGCCCACATTAAACCTTGGGCTTTTTTTTATAGTTTGTTGTATGTGTTTGTTTGATTGCCATAGAGAAGTTTTTTTGTTTTATATTTTTTGGTACTGGGGATTGAACCCAGGACTTTGCTTATGCCAAGCACATGCTCTACCACTCAGCTATATCCTCAACCCCAAATTTTTTTTATTTTTATGTTAAATGTATTATTAGTTCATTCTCATCTGGCCTCTGAATTAGTTATATATCAAAGTTAGAAAAGCAAAGCCTTCCCCACTCCAAGGTGAAAATACTTTTCTCACATTTTCTTCCTAAACCATTAATGGAGTACTTCTCTTTTCTTCTCTCATTTGGATGTTGTACTGGGTATATCTTTTCTTCCATTGGAATCCCTATTTATATGTCACTGACGTACCCTTAATTATTGAGACTCCATCATAAATTCTAATTTCTAATTACTGGGGCCAAATGCCCTTATTGGTCATTTTTCAAAGTTTTCTTTGCTATTTTGTCTGTTTTTATCCCCATGAACTTTAGAATCACCTTGTCAAGTTCTGGGTAGAGCTGTGTACGGAGGAACTGTTAGTACTTGGGGAAAATTCTGTTAAATATTTGAATTAATTTAGGGATAACTTTCATCTTTATGAAGTAAAGTCTTTCTACTCAAAATGTCATATTTCTTCTTTTGTGTGCTTTTATGGAATGACTAATTTTTCTTCATAGATGTCTTACTACTTGCCCAGGTTATTTCTTTTTTAAAAATATTTTTATTAGTTGTAGAGTTATGCACAATATCTTTATTAGTTTATTTTTTATGTGGTGCTAAGGATCAAACCAGTGCCTCACACATGCTAGGCAAGCGCTCTACCACTGAGCTACAGCCCCAGCCTCTATTTCTTAAATGTAGATTGAGCATGCTTACTCTGGAAATCCAAAACCAAAATACTTCCAAGTCTGAAACTTTTTGGAGTATTTCTGATTTTGGATTTTCAGATTAGGGATGCTCAATTAGTAAAGTCTATGCAATTATTCCAAAATCTGAAAAAAAATATCTGAAATGTGAAGCACTTCTAGATCTGAGCATTTTGAATAAGTGATACTCAACCTGACTGTTTTCTTTTTGGGTTGCTGTTGTAAATGAGGTCAAGGTTTTTCCAAGGATGTTTATGAATTCTTTTGTTCTGTCCGAGTTTAGATATTCTAATCACAAGCCATCATATTCTTTTCCTGGACTGTCTGAGTAGCTTCCTAATTAGCTCACTGTTTATACATTTGCCCTTGTCCAGTCTGTTCTACCTAGTAGCCAGAGTGATCTTATGATATGAAACAGACCATTTCTAGTGGTCTCTGCTTTATTTGGGGGGATACCCGGGATTGAACACAGGAGTACTTAACCTCTGAGCCACATCCCCAGCCCTTTTTTATATTTTATTTAGAGACAGGGTCTTGCTGAGTTGCTTAGGGCCTTGCTGAGTTACTGAGGCTGGCTTTGAACTTATGATTCTCCTGCCTTAGGCTCTCCAGTCGCTGGGATTATAGGCTAGTCTCTACTTTTAACTCTCTTCTGTATATTCAACATGACACCCTTGCTGCGGTTGTAGGACTGTACATCTGTTCATCTGGCCAGACTTTCTCTACCAGTTATATTGGCTTTCTGAAAGTCCTCTTGTGAGCTAAGCTGCATCTTGCCATAAGTCTTGTATCTGCTCTTCTACCTGACTGCTCTTTCCTTAGTACTTTACATGGCTGGTTTTCTTTTGAATTCTTCAGGTTTCAATTTAGTGTCTTCATTGCTGAGAGGTTTTCCTTGGCCATCCTTGGTAAAGAAGTACCCCTCCACCTTGACCTTCTCTTAGACATCATTTACTTCCTTCATGGCATTTATCAGAAACCTTAATTCTTTGTCTATTTGTGTACTTATTTGCTGATTTTCTCTTCAATTAGAATGTAAGCCCCATAAGAGCAGTGACTATTTTTCTCTTATTCATGGCATATAGTGACTGGCATGTGGGAGGCACTAAAAAAAAAAATGATGAAAATCAATGAATAAATTAGTCCCTGGACAACCAAGTTCTGACTGATCTTTTGAAAAAAATGGTTTTATTTCCTAGTCTGCAGATGTCACTCTCCAAATTCTCCACTGTGATGACTCATATTGGTGATACATCTCTGACCTGGGCTATTATCAACTAAAACATTGATGCCCCTTGTATATTTATTTCATCATTCCTTAGTCCTCCAGCGACATCTTCTATTGGTCATTTCATCTATTTTTTCCTTCCCCAGAAAGGTGAGATACCCCTTTATTCAGTACATAAATTTCTCCTGTTCTCCAGATCTCTTGCAAAAGGATTCTAAGTGCTTGAAGCAAAAGTATTAGAGTTCAAAATATTTAGCAAAATTGAAAAAGAAATAATTCCCTTTATGGAAGAATGGGTCCAGTTGTTGGGAAGAAGGCCTCCCGAGCTTCATTCACTTTCTTAGTTTAGCTGTCTCCCTGCTCCTAGGCGAAATCATTCTTTGCCTTTTCTCTGCTCCTGTCACATCGTATATCACTTGGTTCATACTCTTATTTGTGTGTTTGTAAGGTTCTTAGGGGCTTAGTTGTCTGTATTTGTTCAGAACATGTTTGTTGACTGAATGATGAGTGCTTTTGCACCAAGCTTTTGCAAATCTTGGGAAAGCTTATCTCCTTCTGGTGAGGTTGCCCTCATCCTGGATGGTTCCGGTTGTGGCTTTTGGGTTCTTCCTGAGTCTGCCACCATAATGAAGCCTTGGTTTCATTTTTTTTTTCCACCTTTGTTAGACTTATCTTTAGATTATATTCTTGGAAATATGGAGATAACTTAAGTTGATTCAGGTGTATCATTTATAAATTGTTTGAGATGTAAGGAAATAATTCTATATGTTTATTATTTATATTTAGAGAAATAATAATTTCTCTTTGAAGAAGATTTTGAAAGTAAAGACAAAATAGAAAACAGATTGATAATGATTTTTTCTTCTCTCCATCCACTACCCCACTTCTCGTCTCTTTTACCTTTCTGCCCTCTTGCCTCTTGCAGAAATTCTTGAATTTGCCCGAGAGATTGGTATTGATCCCATCAAGGAACCAGAACTGATGTGGCTGGCACGGGAGGGCATTGTGGCCCCACTGCCTGTGGAATGGAAACCATGGTAAGTAAGTGGGGGTGTGGGTCACTAATTTGGTCTGTCAGAGGCAGAGGGATCTGGTACTGGAGGTCGGTTTTAATTGGCCATCTTTTCCAAACCTGCCCTCTATAGTTAGGGATAGTTCAGTGCCCTTTCTTTGCTAAGTTGCCTCATGTTTCAGATCTTAGTGTAGGCTGACTTGACAGTCTCTGTGATAGGCTTCAGTACTTATACCTAGCACCACAGTGCTGCTATCCTGGCTCAGGTCCTTTACACCAGCATCTGTTTTGCGTGGGCTAAGGAGGGGTTGTTGTTACTCCTTACAGACTGATAATTTTTTTTTTTTCTTTTTGGGTACTGGGGATTGAACCCAGTAAGCTACATCCTCAGCCCTTTTTTATTTTTTTAAATTTTGAGTCTGAGTCTTACTGAGTTGCTTAGAACCTCATTAAATTGCTGAGGCTGGTCTTGAACTTGGGATTTTTTTTTGTCTCAGCCTCCTGAGTCTCTGGGATCATAGGTCTGTGCCCCTGTGCCTGGTGCCCACTGTTAATTGAACATGACAGTAGTATCTCCTTAGCATGTCCAGAATGGTTGCTGGTGCCAAAGAGTTTGTAGTGAGGCTGTCTAGACTGGCAAAGCATCTCTCTCTCTTGGCAATCCATGGCTCTGCCATCTCTGAATTTGTGTAACCTGTTAATGAATATTTCACATTTGTGGATTCACTGATCTTTTTAGAGCTCTTTGGATTATGAGGAGCACAGCTTATTCAGTTTATCTCAGGGAAACTGGCTTTGGTGAAGAAACAATGGCTAAGGAGAGAAAGCTGCAGGGTACCAGGGTACCATGTCACTGTTGCTCACTCTTTCTCCAGAGGACTGCACTACCACCACTCACAGTGACACTGTTTCCTGTGCTGTATGTCTGCTCTGTCTTTTTAGTTTCTTTTCCTCATTACATGCACAGAGCTCATAAGTTGTCTCCCTGAAGTGAGTGCCATAAGTTTACTTCCTACCTTAGAGTGGATTTTCCTATGATTGTCCCAAACTAGTGCTCAGATGTCTTAGGGGGCTCCCCTCTCAGCGGGTAAGGTGCAATTTGGGAGATAAGGTGTAATCATCTTGTTCTTACCCATATCATTTAATGCGTTGGCTATACTCCAAAATGGCAATTGTTGCATTACTCTTCTAGGCTGAAGGATTGTAATCCTTTTAGCTTTTCTTCACATGGCAGCCTTCTTGTTCTCTTGATCTTTTTAGCTGCCTCTCATTGGACTTTCTCCAGTTTTTCATGACATCTTTCTTGTAGGAAATCTGTCAGCACTTCACACAGTATTCCAAGTGCTGAGGACTCATGATTATATTTATAGGATAACCTTATAGGATAGTGTTTTGTGTTGTTTCCAATACCCAGTCTGAGGGAAGGTAGGAAACTGTTACTGTTTAAGAGCCATCTGTGTGCCAGACTTTGTGCCACTTGCTTTCATGTACTTGCCAGGGTTGTCAGTTTTCATTGTGCTATAGGGGGAACATGAATTGTTTTTCATTTTTTAAAATAATTCATACATGTCATCTTCTCCCTTTCTCAAGGTCATGACTATTAACTGGTAATTCCTTCCAGACTTTTCAGTTCTCTCCACCCCCAGCTCCCCTTCCACACCTTCTAAAATCCACACACCCCACACATTTTTTTTTTAAACCTAAGTGTTTTATACTCTGCTCTTCTATGTCAATTCATGTAGGTCTATTTTTTTTTTATTGGCTGTGTAGGTATTTTACTTTCCCAAGTCCTGTGGTGCTTGGGGTCGAACCCATGGCTTTGCATATGCTAGGCAAGCATTCTGTCACTGAGCTATATTCACTACTCAGCTATATCACGTTTTTTAAAAAGTCTTGATTTAGTTAATTACTTTATTATTGAAGGACATTTAGAGATTTTTTTTAGAGTGACCATGTATAGGAGCATCTTTTTCTGAAATTTCTGATCTCTTCCATTGATCTATTTGTCTTGTTTTTACACAAGTACTATTCTTTTTTTTTGGTGGGCTGGGAGGGGAGTACCAAGATTGAACTCAGAGGCACTTGACCACTGAGCCACGTCCTATTTTGGTTTTTATTTAGAGACAGGGTCTCACTGAGTTGTTTAGTGCCTCACTTTTGCTGAACTTTGCGATCTTCCTGCCTTAGCCTCTGAGCCACTGGGATTACAGGCGTGCGCCACCTTGCTCAGCACTATTCTATCTTGATTACTATAGCTTTATAATAACTCTCAAAATCATTTAGGGTAAATCTTTCAACTTTGTTCTCCATTTTCAAAGTGATATTCTAGGTCCTTTGCATTTCCAAATGAATTTTAGAATCAGCTTGTCAGTTTCTTGGTAGGATTTTGATTGGGATTATGTATCAATCAGTTTGGGGACAACTGACATCTTGAGCAACATTGGGTCTTTCAACCCATGAAATGATCTGTTTTCCTTTATTTAGGTTTTCTTTAATATCTGTAAGAAATGTTTTGTAGATTTTTGTACATGTCTTGCCTATCTTATCAGATTTATGTCTGAGTTTATATTTTTGATGCTTCTATAAGTGGTATATTTTCAATTTCTGATTGTTCATTGCTTTTTTATATGAATAAAATTGGTTTTTGTGTATTGATCTTGTGGTGTGCAACCTACTAAACTCAATTATGTCAGGTCTAGTCGCTTTTAGATTCCATAGGATTTTCCGCAGAGATGATCATGTCTTCTGGGAATAAAGACATTTTCCCTTCTTCCTTTCTTAATCTGATTAGCCTTTATTTCTATTTCTTACCTTACTACACTGACTTGAGCCTTCTGTATAATTAAATAGAAATGGTGACAGAGGACATCTTTGCCTTTTTCCTGCTCTTAAGGGGAAAGCATTCAGTCTTTCATCATTAAGTAGATGTTAGCTGTAGGCTTCTTGGAAATGCTCATTGTCAGGATGAGAAAGTTTCCCTCTATTCCAAGCATACTGAGAGCTTAAAACAGGAATGGATGAATGGTGGTAGATTTTATTAAATGATAAAATCACATAGTTTTCTTTTCTGTCTGTTCATATAGTCAATTATACTGATTTATTTTTGAATGTTTAAATAACCTTATATTCCTGGATAAACTCTACTTGGTCATGATGTATTACTCTTTTTATATTTTATTGAATTTGACTTTGTAAAATTTCATTAGGTATTGTTCCATCTATGTCCATGGGGAAAATTAGTGTATAGTATCATTTTTTTCCTAATATCTGTCTTATTTTAGTATAGGTTAATACTGGGTTCTAAGAATGATTTATGAATTTCTTCCTCTTCAGTTTTCAGGACACATTTCAGTAGGATTGTTATTTTATTCTTCTTTAATTTTTGGGAGAATTTACCAGTGAAATCATCTGGGCCTGTAGGTTTCTTTATGAGAAAATTTTAAATTAAAAATGCATATTCTTTAATAGATATAGGATTATTTAGTACATTTCTTCTTGAATGAGCTTTGGTATCTTATATCTTCCAAGGAATTTTTTTCTCTCATCTATTTGTTTTTTTGGTGGTACAGGGGATCGGCCCAGGGCTTTGTGCATGCTAGGCAAGTGCTCTCCTGCTGAGCTATTTCCCCAGCTCCCCTATCATTCTTTTTTTTTTTAATTAGTTACTGATGGACCTGAATTTATTTATTTGTTTATATGTGGTGCTGAGAATCGAACCCAGTGCCTCACACATGCTAGGCAAGTGCTCTACTGCTGAGCCACAGCCCCAGCTCCTCACTATCATTCTTGATACTGGTTATTTGTATACTTTATCTCTGATTACTCTGGATAGAGGTTTATATATTTTGTTGATTTATCAAAGAACTAGCCTTTGGTTACATGAATTTCACAGTTTTTTTTTCTTCCTATTTCATTGATTTTTCATGAAATCTTTATTATTTCCTTTCTTTGATTTATTTTGGGTTTAATTTGCTCTTTTTCTAATTTCTTACGGGTAACACACTGTTTTAATTGTCATGGTTATATGAGTTAATATTTTGTTAAGGCTGGTCTTTTCTTGATCTTTAATTTTTTTTTTTTTTTTTTGGGTGCTGGGAATTGAGCCCCAGAAGTACTTTTTACCACTGAGCTACATCTCCAGCCTTTAATTTTTTTTTTTTTTTTAAGACAAGATCTCACTAAGTTGCTGTGGTCTTGCTAAGTTGCTCGAAGCTGCTTATGAGGCTGAGGCAGGAAGATCGTGAGTTCAAAGCTACCCTTAGTAAGAGCAAGGTACTAAGCAACTCACTGAGACCCTGTTTCTAAATAAAATACGAAATAAGGCCAGGTGTGGTGATGCCTCCTGAGTTGCTGGGATTATAGGTATAATTATACTGCACACTGCTCCCGTAATCTATTAATGTGGCGAACAACATTAGTATATTTTCTGATGTTAGAACATCTTGAAATTTCCAGAATAAATCCTAATAGGTCATAGAATGCCAGTTTTAGGTAGTGTTGAATTTAGTTTGCTAGTATTTTATTTATAATTTTTGCAGTTATGTTTATAACCATATATTTATTGTATTGACTCTTTCTGATTATCAAGGTGTTTTTGCCTTAAAACATGATTCAGGGAGAGTTTCCTGATTTTTCTTTGTTGCAATACTTTGTTTAGGATAGGCTTTTTTTTTTAAATATTTGGTTTTAGTTGTAGATGGACATGACACCTTTATTTTATTTTTTTTATTTATTATTTTTTTTATGTGGTGCTCGGGATCTAACCCAATGCCTTATGCATGCTAGGCAAGCACTCTACTACTGAACTACAACCCAGGCCCCTAGGATAGGCTTATTTTTAAGTTTGTTTTTCTATTCTTTTTTGATATACATGACAAGGTGTATTTTGACATATTATACATACATGGAGTATAACTTATTCTAATTAGGATTCCATTCTTGTGGTTATATGTGAGTTTCATTGGTGGTGTATTCATATGTGAACATAGGAAAGTAAAGTCAGATTCATTCTATTATCTTTTCTATTCCCATCCCCCTTCCTTTCCCTTCATTTCCCTTTGTCTAATCCATTGAACTTCTACTCTTCCCCTCCTCCTCTTGTTGTGTGTTAGCATCCACATATCAAAGAGAACATTTGACCTTTGGTTTTTCAGGATTGGCTTGTTTCACTTAGCCTGATAGTCTCCAGATTCATGCATTTACCAGCAGAAATCATAAAGTCATTCTTTTTTATGGCTGAATAATATTTTTTTTAACTTTTTTTTTTTAGTCTTAGATGCACACAATACCTTTATTTTATATTTATGTGGTGCTGAGGATCGAACCCAGTGCCTTCCACATGTGAGGCAAGCACTCTACCACTGAGCTACAACCCCACCCACTGAAGAATATTTTATTGTGTGTATATATCACACAATATGATGATATATGTATATATTTCATAAATTCTTTATCCATTCATTTGTTGAAGGGCACCTAGGTTGGTTCCATAGCTTAGCTATTGTGAATTGAGCTGCTATAATCATTGATGTGGTTGGGTCACTGTAGTATGCTGATTTTAGATCCTTTTGGTATATAACAAGGAGTGGGATCACTGGTCAAATGGTGGTTCTATTCCAAGTTTTCTGAGGAATCTCCATATTGCTTTCTAGAGTGGTTATACCAATTTGCAGTTCCACCAGCAATGTATGAATGTATTTCCCCCCC